TGGGGGGTTGGTCGTGACGAATGGAAGAGTGGGGGGAGGGTCGTGCCGAACGGAAGAGTCAGGGGGAGTGGTCGTGACGAATGAAAAAGGGGGGGGGGAGGGTCGGGACGAACGGAAGAGTGGGGGGAGGGTCCTGACGAACGAAAGAGTGGAGGGGACGGGGGAGGTTCGTGACGAACTGAAGAGAGGGGGGGAGATGTCGTGACGAACAGAAGAGTTGGGGGAAGGGTCGTGACTAACGGAAGAGTGATGGAGGGTCGTGACGAACGAAAGAGTGGGAGGAGGGTCGAGACGAACGGAAGAGTGGGGAGAGGTTGTAACGAATGGAAGTGGAGGGGGGTCGTTACGAATGGAAATGTTGGGGGGGGAGGGTGGTGTCGAATGGAAGTGGGGTGGAAGGGTCGTGACGAATGGAAGAGTGAGGCGAGGTTGTGACGAACGGAAGAGGGGGGAGGGGAGAATCGTGACAAACGGAATTGTGGGGGGAGGGGAGAATCGTGACAAACGGAATTGTGGGGGGAGGGTCGTGACGAAGGGAAGAGTGGGGGGGGGGGGGGGGGAATTCATGACAAACGGAAGAAGGGGAGGGTCGTGACGAACGGAGGAGTGGGGAGAGGGTCGTGACGAACGGAAGAATGGGGTGAGGGTCGTGACGAACGGAATAGAGGGGTGAGGTGAGGGTCTTGACATACAACAGAATGGAGGGGGAAGGGTCGTGACGAACGGAAGAATGGGGGAAGGGTCGTGTCGAACGGGAAGGTGAGGGGAGGGGTCGTGACGATTGGAAGAAGTGGGTCGTGACGGACGTAGGAGAGGGGGGCATGACGAATCAAAGTGTGGGGAAGGGTCATGACGAACTGAAGAGTGGGGGGATAGTCCTGACGAACGGAGGAGTGAGATGAGGGTCGTGACGAACGGAAGAGTGTGGGGAGGGTCGTGACGAACGGAAGAGCGGGGAGGGGAAGGGTCGTGACAAATGGAAGTAGGGGGGAAAGGATCGCGACGAATGGAAGAGTGAGGGGAGGGTCGTGACGATCGGAAGAGTGGGGGGCGGGTCGTGATGAACGGAAGAGTTGGGGTGTGGGTCGTGACGAACTGAAGAGTGGGAGGAGGATCATGACGAACGGAAGAGTGGGAAGGGGGAGAGTCGTGATGAACAGAAGACTGGGGGGGGGGGAAGGGAAATCATGAGTTACAGGAGTAGGGAGAGGGTCGAGACGAACGGAGGAGTAGGGGGAGGGTTGTGACGAATGGAAGTGTTGGAGGAGGGTCGTGACAAACGGAAGAGTGGGGAGAGATTGTAACGAATGGAAGTGGGGTGGAAGGGTCGTGACGAGTGCAGGAGTGAGGCGAGGTTGTGACGAACGGAAAAGCGGGGGGAGGGGGGGAGAGATTCGTGACAAACGGAATTGTTGGGGGAGGGTAGTGACGAAGGGAAGAGTGGAGGGGGGGGGAATTCGTGACAAACGGAAGAGGGGAGGGTCGTGACGAACGGAGGAGAGGAGGGAGGGTCGTGATGACCGGAAGAGTGAGGGGAGGGTCGTGACGATCGGAAGAGCGGGGAGGGGAAGGGTCGTGACAAATGGAAGAGTGGGGGAAGGTTGTGACGAACGGAAGAGTGAGGGGAGGGTCGTGACGAACGAATGAGTGGAATGAGAGTCGTGACGACCAAAAGAGTGGGGGGCGGGTCGTGATGAACGGAAGTGTATGGAGAGGTTGTCACGAATGGAAGAGTGGGGGCAGGGTCGTGACGAACGGAACAGGGAAGGGAGGGTCGTGACGAACGAATGAGTAGAATGAGAGTCGTGACGACCGGAAGAGTGGGGGGTTGGTCGTGACGAATGGAAGAGTGGGGGGAGGGTCGTACCGAACGGAAGAGTGAGGGGGAGTGGTCGTAACGAATGGAAGGGGGGGAAGGGTCATGACTAATGGAAGAGTGGCGGGAAGGGTCATGACGAATGGAAGAGTGGCGGGAAGGTTGTAACGAACGGAAGAGTGAGGGGAGGGTCGTGACGAACGGAAGACAGGGGGGGAGGGTCGTGACGAACGGAAGACGGGGGGAGGGTCGTGACGAACAGAAGGGTGTGTTGATGGTCGTGACGAACAGAAGGGTGTTTTGATGGTCGTGTCGAACGGAAGAGTGGTGTAGGGGAGGGTCGTGACGAACGGAGGAGTGAGGGGAGGGTCGTGACTAACGGAAGAGTGGAGGGAGGGTCGTGATGACAGGAAGAGTATGGAGAGGTTTTGATGAATGGAAGAGTGGAAGAGTGGGGGGAGTGTCGTGAGGAACAGAACAGGGGAGGGAGGTTCGTGACGAACTGAAGAATGGAATGAGGGTCGTGACGAACGGAAGAGTGGGGGGTTGGTCGTGACGAATGGAAGAGTGGGGGGAGGGTCGTGCCGAACGGAAGAGTCAGGGGGAGTGGTCGTGACGAATGAAAAAGGGGGGGGGGGAGGGTCGGGACGAACGGAAGAGTGGGGGGAGGGTCCTGACGAACGAAAGAGTGGAGGGGACGGGGGAGGTTCGTGACGAACTGAAGAGGGGGGGGGAGATGTCGTGACGAACAGAAGAGTTGGGGGAAGGGTCGTGACTAACGGAAGAGTGATGGAGGGTCGTGACGAACGAAAGAGTGGGAGGAGGGTCGAGACGAACGGAAGAGTGGGGAGAGGTTGTAACGAATGGAAGTGGAGGGGGGTCGTTACGAATGGAAATGTTGGGGGGAGGGTGGTGTCGAATGGAAGTGGGGTGGAAGGGTCGTGACGAATGGAAGAGTGAGGCGAGGTTGTGACGAACGGAAGAGGGGGGAGGGGAGAATCGTGACAAACGGAATTGTGGGGGGAGGGTCGTGACGAAGGGAAGAGTGGGGGGGGGGAATTCATGACAAACGGAAGGAGGGAGGGTTGTGACGAACGGAGGAGTGGGGAGAGGGTCGTGACGAACGGAAGAGTTGGGGTGAGGGTGGTGACGAACTGAAGAGTGGAAGGAGGATCATGACGAACGGAAGAATGGGGTGAGGGTCGTGACGAATGGAAGAGTGAAGTGAGGAGGTTCGTGAGGAATGAAACAGTGGGAGGCGAATGGGTCGTGACGAACGGAAGAGTGAGGAGGCAAGGTCGTGACGAACCGAAGAGTGGGAGGAGGATCGGGACGAACGGAGGAGTTGGGGGAGGGTCATGACGAATGGAAGAGGGGGGGGGGGGTCGTGACAAACGAAAGAGTCTGGGAGAGGGTCGTGACGATCGGAAGAAGGAGAGGGAGGGTCGTGACGAACAGAGGAGTGGGGAGGGTCGTAACGAAAGAATGATTTGGAGTAGGGTCGTGACAAACGAATGAGTGTGGCAAGGGTCTTATGAACAGAAGAGTGATGTTGGGGAGGGTCGTGACGAACGGAAGAATGGGGGGGGGAGGTTCGTGACGAAAGTAACAGTGGAGGGAAGGGTCGTGACGAAGAGAAGAGTAGGGGGAGGGTCGTGCCGAACGGAAGAGTGGGGTGCGGGAGTATCGTGATGAACGGAAGAATGGGTGAGGGTGTATAGTCTCTCCTGTAGTCTACTACTCTAGTATAGTCTCTCCTGCCCTAACATAGTCTCTTGCAGTTTCCTGTTCTAGTATAGTCTCTCCTGTAATCTCCTGCCCTAGTATAGTCTCTTGCAGTCTCCTGTTCTAGTATAGTCTCTCTTGTGGTCTCCTGCCCTAGTATAGTCTCTTGCAGTCTCCTGTTCTAGTATAGTCTCTCTTGTGGTCTCCTGACCTAGTATAGTCTCTTGCAGTCTCCTGTTCTAGTATAGTCTCTCTTGTGGTCTCCTGCCCTAGTATAGTCTCTTGCAGTCTCCTGTTCTAGTATAGTCTCTCTTGTAGTCTTCTGTCCTAGTATAGTCTCTTGCAGTCTCCTGTTCTAGTATAGTCTCTCTTGTGGTCTCCTGCCCTAGTATAGTCTCTTGCAGTCTCCTGTTCTAGTATAGTCTCTCTTGTAGTCTTCTGTCCTAGTATAGTCTCTCGTGTATTCTCCTGCCTTTGTATAGTCTCTCCTGTAGTCTCCTGTCCTAGCATAGTCTATGGTAAGACAGGAGAATAAATGAGTGACTATAAAAGGGCAGGAGACTACAGGAGAGACTATACTAGGGCAGGAGAATACACGAGAGACTATACTAGAAGAGGAGACTGCAAGAGACAATACTAGGGCAGGAGACTACAAGAGAGACTATACTAGAACAGGAAACTGCAAGAGATTATATTAAGGCAGGAGAGACTATACTAGGGTAGGAGACTACAGGAGAGACTATACAAGAGCAGGAGAATACACGAGAGACTATACTAGGGCAGGAGACTACTGGAGAGACTAAAACCTATGAAATATATAAGAAAAGTATATAAATATCCAAAATATATAAAAACAGAGTACTGTGTCAGGGGTATTCGAGGTGCAACAATGACTTTATATAACTCACTGCTTAACCTATATTTTGCTTAGCCTACCCACTGATTAGTGGGAACACCCACTACTTAACTATCCACACATAGTTTTCACTATTACTTAGCCTGTTTATCCTAGGCACTGCTTAGCCTACCCACTACTTAGCCTACCTACTGTCAGAAAAATAGATGAAATCAACAGGAGTCTCCATTTTTCATACATTGTAAACCACATATATAACCTAGATTACACTATTAAATCGTACAACGACGATTCGAATCTCCCCCAATGGCGTAGCAAAAATCCTGTCACAAATCCTGTGAGCAAATAAATTACTATCCAGCGTCGACCCTTCGCAGGAACCATTGTTTACGTCTGTTTCCACTTCAGTTCCTTTCATGATGAGAGGCCGGCCATTGTTGTGAGAGAGGCAGAGTATGTTGCACACAGTCTCGTCCCGGGAGATCTCTCAACATTGATCACTGGACGAGGGACTATAAGGAGAGTCGTACGCGTATCACAACGCTTCACTCCCATCTTCTGGGAGGGGGTGAGCAATTTGACGTGATTGATTTTAAGGGATCTTTACGCCCCGTGAGGGCGAGTGTCCCGGGCCCCGTGAGGGCGAGTGTCCCGGGCCCCGTGAGGGCGAGTGTCCCGGCCTCCGTGAGGGCGGGAGTCCCGGCCTCCGTGAGGGCGGGAGTCCCGGCCTCCGTGAGGGCGGGAGTCCCGGCCTCCGTGAGGGCGGGAGTCCCGGCCTCCGTGAGGGCGGGAGTCCCGGCCTCCGTGAGGGCGGGAGTCCCGGCCTCCGTGAGGGCGGGAGTCCCGGCCTCCGTGAGGGCGGGAGTCCCGGCCTCCGTGAGGGCGGGAGTCCCGGCCTCCGTGAGGGCGGGAGTCCCGGCCTCCGTGAGGGCGGGAGTCCCGGGCCCCGTGAGGGCGGGAGTCCCGGGCCCCGTGAGGGCGGGAGTCCCGGGCCCCGTGAGGGCGGGAGTCCCGGGCCCCGTGAGGGCGGGAGTCCCGGGCCTCCGTGAGGGCGGGAGTCCCGGGCCCCGTGAGGGCGGGAGTCCCGGGCCCCGTGAGGGCGGGAGTCCCGGGCCCCGTGAGGGCGGGAGTCCTCCCGGGCCTCCGTGAGGGCGGGAGTCCTCCCGGGCCTCCGTGAGGGCGGGAGTCCTCCCGGGCCTCCGTGAGGGCGGGAGTCCTGGCCTCCGTGAGGGCGGGAGTCCTCCCGGGCCTCCGTGAGGGCGGGAGTCCTCCCGGGCCTCCGTGAGGGCGGGAGTCCTGGCCTCCGTGAGGGCGGGAGTCCTCCCGGGCCTCCGTGAGGGCGGGAGTCCCGGGCCCCGTGAGGGCGGGAGTCCCGGGCCCCGTGAGGGCGGGAGTCCCGGGCCCCGTGAGGGCGGGAGTCCCGGGCCCCGGGGGGGCGGGAGTCCCGGGCCCCGTGAGGGCGGGAGTCCCGGGCCCCGTGAGGGCGGGAGTCCCGGGCCCCGTGAGGGCGGGAGTCCCGGGCCCCGTGAGGGCGGGAGTCCCGGGCCCCGTGAGGGCGGGAGTCCCGGGCCTCCGTGAGGGCGGGAGTCCCGGGCCCCGTGAGGGCGGGAGTCCCGGGCCCCGTGAGGGCGGGAGTCCCGGGCCCCGTGAGGGCGGGAGTCCCGGGCCCCGTGAGGGCGGGAGTCCCGGGCCTCCGTGAGGGCGGGAGTCCTGGCCTCCGTGAGGGCGGGAGTCCCGGGCCCCGTGAGGGCGGGAGTCCCGGGCCTCCGTGAGGGCGGGAGTCCTGGCCTCCGTGAGGGCGGGAGTCCCGGGCCTCCGTGAGGGCGGGAGTCCTGGCCTCCGTGAGGGCGGGAGTCCCGGGCCCCGTGAGGGCGGGAGTCCCGGGCCCCGTGAGGGCGGGAGTTCCGGGCCCCGTGAGGGCGGGAGTCCTGGCCTCCGTGAGGGCGGGAGTCCTGGGCCCCGTGAGGGCGGGAGTTCCGGGCCCCGTGAGGGCGGGAGTCCCGGGCCCCGTGAGGGCGGGAGTCCCGGGCCCCGTGAGGGCGGGAGTCCCGGGCCTCCGTGAGGGCGGGAGTCCTGGCCTCCGTGAGGGCGGGAGTCCTGGCCTCCGTGAGGGCGGGAGTCCCGGGCCCCGTGAGGGCGGGAGTTCCGGGCCCCGTGAGGGCGGGAGTCCCGGGCCTCCGTGAGGGCGGGAGTCCTGGCCTCCGTGAGGGCGGGAGTCCTGGCCTCCGTGAGGGCGGGAGTCCCGGGCCCCGTGAGGGCGGGAGTTCCGGGCCCCGTGAGGGCGGGAGTCCTGGCCTCCGTGAGGGCGGGAGTCCTGGCCTCCGTGAGGGCGGGAGTCCCGGGCCCCGTGAGGGCGGGAGTTCCGGGCCCCGTGAGGGCGGGAGTCCCGGGCCCCGTGAGGGCGGGAGTCCCGGGCCCCGTGAGGGCGGGAGTTCCGGGCCCCGTGAGGGCGGGAGTTCCGGGCCCCGTGAGGGCGGGAGTCCCGGGCCCCGTGAGGGCGGGAGTCCCGGGCCCCGTGAGGGCGGGAGTCCCGGGCCCCGTGAGGGCGGGAGTCCTGGCCTCCGTGAGGGCGGGAGTCCTGGCCTCCGTGAGGGCGGGAGTCCCGGGTCCCGGGCCCCGTGAGGGTTGGAGTCACAGTCGTGTGGGACTCCACTGACCTCCCCCGGAGTTTCTCGTGAGGTATGTGTAGGTCGCGTTAGAGACAATGAGAGTCAATGGGATTCTCTGATCACACTATGCTAGTGGTCAGTTGCTGGGTGGTGAATGATTACACTGTATTCCTAGACTGTGTTAGTGGTCAGTTGCTAGGTGGTGAATGTTTACACTGTATTCCTAGACTGTGTTAGTAGTCAGTTGTTGAGTGGTGAATGTTTACACTGTATTCCTAGAATATGTTAGTAGTCAGTTGCTGGGTGGTGAATGATTATTCACCGAGTGGTTCCTTGGATCAACGCAAAATTATAAACTGTCTCAATAGAGTCAAAAAATAACCGTAATATGAATTTAGAGTATTGATAATTTTTATAAATAATTGTAGTTTTGAAGGAAAAGTCAGCGGTTCTCAGTTAGCGGGACGGTGGCTTCCGCCACATCCATCTCTTTTAATTTTGTCTTTACTTCCTCTGGTTTTACTTCTATTTCAATCGGTCTTTCTTTTGGTGGCACTGTTCTATTAGAAATAGTAGGTCAAGAGACGGTTTTGGTTCAAATTTGAAAACTTTTTGGAAGTTTTTATTAAGTTCTTCACACACTTCTTTTTCTTAATTTGTGTATGCTCCTCCTCTTTTATATAGTATGTGTGTACTAGCCTAGTTGTGCTTGCGGGGGATGAGCTCGGCTCTCCCGGCCCGTCTCACAACTGTCAATAAATCAAATGCTACTAACTAATAACTAATATTTACACACACACACACACACACACACACACACACGCACACACACGCACACACACACGCACACACACGCACACACACGCACACACACACACCGTGGCGGCAGAAGCAAGGAAGAGGCGCAGGGCGAGAGGGGAAAACCAGGAAGTCACAGCTCCCAACACAACACCCCCAGAGGCGAGGGGGGAACCCACAACCAGCTACCCAGTAACACCAGAAGGGAGGACAACCCCGCTTCCCTCCTCTGCATAGAAAACCCCCCTACCCCAAACCCTCCCTGCCCCCACTCAAAAGTTCAGCCAAATCTCCCTCCCCCCACACCCAATCCCCACCCTTCTACCCCTCCCCTCCTCCCGAGTCCTCCCTCCCCCCCTTTCCTTCCCGTCCTCCCTCCCCTTTCACCCCATACCCTCCCTGTCCCTCCCCCTTCACTGGATCCCCCGCCCCTCATTCCAGTATCCTCTGAGATCCTGTTACCCACCTCACAGGTCCTCACACCCATGGAACAGCCTCCCCCACCAGCAGAACACTCACCAAGGAGGCGATTTGAGAAGGGACAGAAGAAAGTGAGCCTCAAAGCGATGTACACTAACATAGATGGAATTACAAATAAAGCAAATGAGCTTGGAGAACTGGTACTAGAGGAAAACCCAGACATAATAGCCCTCACAGAAACAAAGATCACGAAAACAATAACAAATGCAGTGTTTCCACAGGACTATTATGTTATGCGGAAAGAGAGGGAAGGAAGAGGTGGGGGTGGTGTAGCTCTGCTGGTAAGAAAAGGCTGGGATTTTGAGGAGATGGATATTCAGGGCTGTGAAGGTTTCAGTGACTACATAGCAGGTACTGTAACAAATGGAGGGAAAAAAATTATAGTCGCAGTCATATATAATCCACCACCAAATGACAGAAGACCTAGACAGGAATATGATAGAAACAACATGGCCACCATTAACATAATAGAAAGAGCAGCTTCTGTTGCTAGCAGGAATGGATCTGGACTACTAATTATGGGAGACTTCAACCATGGGAAGATAGATTGGAAGAACAGAGACCCGCATGGAGGACCAGAAACATGGAGAGCTAAGCTGCTGGACGTGGCAACAAGAAACTTTCTAAGCCAGCATACCAAAGAGCCAACAAGAATGAGAGGAGAAGATGAACCAGCAATGCTTGATTTGATATTTACCCTAAATGAATGGGATATAAGGGAAGTTAAGATGGAAGCGCCCTTGGGAATGAGTGACCACAGTGTATTGAACTTTGAGTACCTGGTAGAGCTAGGACTTATCTCCCCCCAAAAAGAACTAGGAATCAAAAGGCTGGCATACCGAAAGGGGAATTATGAACAGATGAGAAGTTTCCTAAGTGAAATACCTTGGGACACAGACCTCAGAGACAAGTCTGTACAGGGTATGATGGACTATGTTACCCAAAAGTGTCAGGAGGCAGTAAACAGGTTCATCCCGGCCCAAAGGGAAAAATCCGAGAAGCAACAGAAGAATCCATGGTATAATAGGGCATGTATGGAAGCGAAGAAACTGAACAAAAAGGCGTGGAGGAACTTCCGGAATAACAGAACACCAGAAAGCAGGGAGAGATACCAGAGAACCAGGAATGAGTACGTCAGGGTGAGAAGAGAAGCAGAGAAAAATTTTGAAAATGATATAGCAAACAAAGCCAAGACCGAACCAAAGCTACTCCACAGTCACATCAGAAGGAAAACAACAGTGAAAGAACAGGTATTGAAACTTAGAACAGGCGAGGACAGGTATACAGAGAATGACAGAGAGGTGTGTGAGGAACTCAACAAGAGGTTCCAGGAGGTCTTCACAATAGAACAGGGTGAGGTCACTGTGCTAGGAGAAAGGGAGGTAAACCAGGCGGCCTTGGAGGAGTTCGAAATTACGAGAGAGGAGGTCAAGAGACACCTGCTGGATCTGGATGTTAGAAAGGCGGTTGGTCCAGATGGGATCTCACCATGGGTACTGAAAGAGTGTGCAGAGGCACTTTGCTTGCCACTCTCCATAGTGTATAGTAAATCACTAGAGACGGGAGACCTACCAGAAATATGGAAGACGGCGAATGTGGTCCCAATATACAAAAAGGGCGACAGACAAGAGGCACTGAACTACAGGCCAGTGTCCTTGACTTGTATACCATGCAAGGTGATGGAGAAGATCGTGAGAAAAAACCTGGTAACACATCTGGAGAGAAGGGACTTCGTGACAAATCGCCAACATGGATTCAGGGAGGGTAAATCTTGCCTTACAGGCTTGATAGAATTCTACGATCAGGTGACACAGATTAAGCAAGAAAGAGAGGGCTGGGCGGACTGCATTTTCTTGGATTGTCGGAAAGCCTTTGACACAGTACCGCATAAGAGGCTGGTACATAAGCTGGAGAGACAGGCAGGTGTAGCTGGTAAGGTGCTCCAGTGGATAAGGGAGTATCTAAGCAATAGGAAGCAGAGAGTTACGGTGAGGGGTGAGACCTCCGATTGGCGTGAAGTCACCAGTGGAGTCCCACAGGGCTCTGTACTCGGTCCTATCTTGTTTCTGATATATGTAAATGATCTCCCGGAGGGTATCGATTCATTTCTCTCAATGTTTGCGGACGATGCTAAAATTATGAGAAGGATTAAAACAGAAGAGGACTGTTTGAGGCTTCAAGAAGACCTAGACAAGCTGAAGGAATGGTCGAACAAATGGTTGTTAGAGTTTAACCCAACCAAATGTAATGTAATGAAGATAGGTGTAGGGAGCAGGAGGCCAGATACAAGGTATCATCTGGGAGAGGAAATTCTTCAGGAGTCAGAGAAGGAAAAAGACTTGGGGGTTGATATCACGCCAGACCTGTCTCCTGCAGCACATATCAAGCGGATAACATCAGCGGCATATGCCAGGCTGGCCAACATACGAACGGCATTCAGAAACTTGTGTAAAGAATCATTCAGAACTTTGTATACCACATATGTCAGGCCAATCCTGGAGTATGCAGCCCCAGCATGGAGTCCATATCTAGTCAAGGATAAGACTAAACTGGAAAAGGTTCAAAGGTTTGCCACCAGACTAGTACCCGAGCTGAGAGGTATGAGCTACGAGGAGAGACTACGGGAATTAAACCTCACTTCGCTGGAAGACAGAAGAGTTAGGGGGGACATGATCACCACATTCAAGATTCTGAAGGGGATTGATAGGGTAGATAAAGACAGTCTATTTAACACAAGGGGAACACGCACAAGGGGACACAGGTGGAAACTGAGTGCCCAAATGAGCCACAGAGATATTAGAAAGAACTTTTTTAGTGTCAGAGTGGTTGACAAATGGAATGCATTAGGAAGTGATGTGGTGGAGGCTGACTCCATACACAGTTTCAAGTGTAGATATGACAGAGCCCGATAGGCTCATGAATCTGTACACCTGTTGATTGACGGTTGAGAGGCGGGACCAAAGAGCCAGAGCTCAACCCCCGCAAACACAACTAGGTGAGTACAACTAGGTGAGTACACACACACACACACACACACACAATCACTAGTTGAACATCTGGAGCGAAAGAACTTTGTAACACAGCATCAACATGGGTTCAGGGATGGCAAGTACTGCCTCACAGGGTTAATTGAATTCTACGACCAGGCAACAAAGATCAGGCAAAATAGAGAAGGCTGGACAGACTGTGTTTTTCTGGATTGTCGGAAAGCCTTTGACACAGTACCACATAAGAGGTAGTGCATAAGCTGGAGATGCAGGCAGGAGTAAAAGGTAAGGTACTCCACTGGATAAGGGAGTACCTAAGCAATAGGAAGCAGAGAGTTACTGTGAGGGGTGAGACCTCCGATTGGCGTGAAGTCACCAGTGGAGTCCCGCAGGGCTCTGTACTTGGACCTATCAGGCAGGCCATGTTTCTGATATATATAAATGATCTCCCAGAGGGTATAGAATCATTCCTCTCAATGTTTGCTGACGAGCCAAAAAATATGAGAAGGATTAAAACAGAGTTAGACAGTTTGAGGCTTCAAGAAGACCTGGACAAGCTGAAGGAATGGTCGAACAAATGGCTGTTAGAGTTTAACCCAAGTAAATGTAATGTAATGAAGATAGGCAGTAGGAAGCAGGAGGCCAGATACAAGGTATCAAAATGGGAGATGAAATACTTC